GAAGAAAGCTAGATGAAGATGTATAATGGCGAAGGAATGATAAACCTAAAAGAACCATTTTCAAATAACAAAATCTTCAAGATTGAGATTGACATGGTTGATCATCAATGTCTTGCTTCGGCTACTATTAAAGACAAGAACTTGTTATGGCATCATAGGTATGGACAATTAAACTTCAGAGGTATAGATAGGATAAACCAGAAGAAGATGGTGTGTGTCTTACCTCAAGTGAAGGAACAAAGTCAAGTGTGAGAAATATTGCAAAGCAAAGTTGGCTAGGAAAGCATTCAAACATGACTTGTCCATGAAGCCGAGATAAAATCTGAAGCTTGTTCATCATGACGTGTGTGGACCTTTTGAAGTAAGTTTTAATGGAAGTAATTGATATTTTCTAACTTTCATAGATGAATTCACCAGACATATGTGTATTTATCTTAGTGAAAGGAAGAGTGAGGTATTCACATAGTTTAAGAAGTTTAAGTTGCATGTCAAAAAACAAAGTGGATGTAAGTTAAAGAAACTGAAAAATGGTGGTGGAGGTGAATAAACATCTATAGAATTTATAAGATTTTTCAATGAGGAAGTTATATTACATGAGGTCATTGCACCTTATACACCTCAACACAATGGTATAGTTAAGGGGAGAAATAGAATTATACTGAAAATTACTAGGAGTATGTTAAAAGCTAAAGAAATGCCAAAGAGATTTTAGGGTGAAGCAAATTCGATAAAAATGTACATTATAAATAGATGTCCAACCAAGAAGATAGTAGAGAAGACACCTTATGAGGCTTGGACAGGAATGAAACCAAATGTTAGTCATCTTAGATTATCTAGATCAATGTGTTTCAGGCTTGTACCTAAGAAATTGAGGAGAAGTTAAATGATTGAAGTCAGTCCATGGTGCTAATAAGTTATCATTCGAGTGGTGTATATAAACTGTATTCTCCAAATGATGATAAGCTAGTGATCAATAGGGATGTTCTGGTGGATGAAAGCAAATGGAAGAATTAGACTCTAGGGTCAGTTCGACATGAGCAAGATATAGTTGCAACAGTGTTTTAAAAAGACCAGCAAACTAAAGTCACAACCAATCAAAATGAAGAACCACCCAAACAGAATGTTAGAAGATCGACTAGAGAAAAATCCGTGTCGATAAGGCTAGCTGGATTAGATATATTTCCATATCAAGCAATCGATATAAATGGTGACTTCATAAGAGAAGTGATGATGATGGCTGAATCAGAACCAATTGATTTGGATAAAACTATGAATGATTCAAATTGGTTGGCAGCCATGCAAGAAAAACTCAGTGCAATCAAGAAGAACAAGACTTGGGAGCTTGTAGAAAACTCATAAGGCCAAATGGTGAAATTGTCAATCATAAGGAAAGATTGGTAGCAAGAGGTTTTCTACAAAAATCCGTGTTCCTGATAAACACTTTTGGATAATCTCCCTGAAGAGAATCAGGTGAGACCACAAACGTATTGAGACTTTGATGTTACTTTATTGCTTTGTTATTATATATGCCCTCTTCTTTGTTCCTCAATGGGAAGCCTCTTTATACCTATCTTACTCCCTCTAGATCATTAAGGAGTGTTCCCTCAAATTTCATGATTAAATGATGATCATAATGTCTTTTGTTCTCATTATTATCATGTAACATCATCTTTATCAATTTCTGTAACTCTCATGCGACCATGGAATCATCCTATAGTCGTTACATCGATTATATGCATTGTCCAAAAACATGTCTCCAATAACCATACAACCTAGGCTCCGACTTGTCTCATATGCAGCAATCGTGCACTTGTTACTTTCTGCAAATACCCGGCATACCGAATTTCCATGCTCGACCCCAGTTATTTATAACTTGAAATTGAGAATTCTGGGATGTACAACCTAGTATCAACTTCAACGAAGCCTATGTATTTGTTGCAAGGATAGAAACCATCAGAATTGTGTCAACCGCAACATATAAATGATGGTAGATAGATCAACTAGATGTAAAGTCATTATTTCTAAATGGATTATTGGAATAAGAGGTCTATGTCAGTCAACCACCAGGATTCAAAATCGAAGGCTAAGAGCAAAAGGTGTACAAAACTAAGGAAGACTCTCTATGGTTTTGAGGATATCCATGGAGAAGCCACAAGAACGTCATCTCACTAAAGTCAATAGAGTGTTGAGACGCATAAGAGGAACAATTGATCATGGTGTGATGATGCCAAAGAAAAAGAATACTAGCATAGACTTCAGTGGAGATCAAGATGAGAAGAAGAGTACAACATGTTACATATTCATGATTTGAGGTGCTCCAATATCTCGAAGCTCAAGAAAGTAAAGCATTGTGGCTTTGTCTTCTTGTGAAGTTGAGTACATAGTTGCATCGTATGCAGCGCGTCAAGAAGTATGGATAAAGGTGTTGCTTGAAGAACTTAAGATCATGGGACCTGAGAAAATGTATTTGTTTGTCAATAACAAGTATGTGATCGACCTGATAAATCATCTAGTGAGTCATGGTTGAAGTAAACACATAGAGAGAATGTATCACTTCCTTAAGAATCAAGTAAATAAAGGAAAACATGAACTTAAGCATTGCAAGTCAGAATGACAACTAGCCGATACACTTACCAAGCCCCTGAAGAAATTTAGATTTGATGAATTAAAGAGAGACATTGGCATAAGAAGCCACGAAAACATGAATTATGAGGTGTGTTAAAATGTAATTCAGTGTTTTAGTAAGAAAACTATATTCAACATAGTTATGTTAAACAATATAGTCAAAATAAACTAAATAGATGTAGGTTGTGTTCGATGAGAGTAGATTACAACATCTAAGTATTATAATTTTCACTTTAATAAAATTTTATGTTTCTCTCTTCTTTATTATTCTTGAAAACCCTAATTATTCTAACAAGGAGAATATTTTATTTGAAAACTAAGGTTTTTCTAAAAGTTATTTCTTTATTTCTATTATTAATTTTTGCATTTTTTTAAAAAAAATTATTATTTGATTAATGATATGATATTTATTAATGTGTATATAATAATTCATGTTATCATATCTTGTTCCCGATTAAAAAAATAACCAACCTTCATTTTTATAAACGAAAAAAAATGAAAAAAGAGAAAAAGAAATTCAAATTGTTTAAAAATAAAATAAAAATTAATTTTTTGAATGGACTAAAATTTTGAGATTAAAACTATAATTTAATTAATAAAAAGTTAAATACATGTAAATGTACATCTATTAAATGGATAACAATTTATAACAAAAATAAATGGCTTTTCACTACAAAAATAAAGCTCAAGTAGCTAGGTGAATAACATCCTGCAAATGAACTATTGCGAGGTATCTCAAACACCTCGCAAAATCGTATCGTTAGTCGCAAACTGTTGCAGGGTGTAAATCGCGTCGTAACTTTTGTAGGGTGCAAATCACACCACAATGTTGTTAAGTGAAAAACACACCGCAACTCAATTTCCAGAATTCAGAGCAGAACAACGCAACAGAACAAAATATATTGTCAATGCAGAGCATAGCTGATAATAGTTTGTTGCCGGGTGAAAACACGACACAACGTTTTTAATTGCAGGAAGAAAAGCACAACGCAAAATGTATTTTATATAATAAAAAAAAGTTATATTTATATTATTATAAATATTAATTTGAATATTTATAATAATATAAATATAATAAATAATATTAATTTTAATTTTAATTTTAAAAAAATAAATTCAAAAATATTTAAATTCATACCTAATTAAATAATTTTATAATTAATTAAATTCATTAGAATCGTCACTCTCGTTTTATATATCAAATATGTCTAAAGAATATTAAAAATAAATAATTTTTAAATCTGCTCTCTAATTTTTCTAAAGAAAATCGAAAATCCTCCCTAAAGAATAACTATTTTCTAAAAACGAAAATCATTCCTAATTTTCATAAATCATTAAGAATTGTAAAAAAGAAAAACAAAAATATGTTAACATATTATACAAAAATTATATCATTTATAATTTTATCATACAACCTTAAAAAAAAACTAAATCTACACAGCACATATAATTCAGTAAAAAATATACAAGAACAAATTTATTATGTGTACCTTAACACTAACAACAATTCTTGAAGAAGATCTTGAAAAAAAATCAGGATTTATTCATCAACAACAATAGAACTTGCTCCTAAATTTATTATGTGTACCTTAACACTAACAACAATTCTAGAAGAAGATCTTGAAAAAAAATCAGGGTTTATCCATCAACAACAACAGAACTTGCTTCTAAAGACACCGATATTTGTGTTGAAAATGAAGGATTTGAAGAATTTATTCGTGTGGTGGATCAGGAGTTAGAAAAGAGAATTTGTATATTAATTTTCTTTTAGGTTTTGGAATGTGGAGGAAAAAACAATGCCGTAAAATATATAGAGAGATTGGAAACATCATGACGTCTCATTAATTAAACTTTTTTAATTTTTCACGTCATTAATTAAACTTTTTAATTTTTCACCTATTTTGTTCAGAAGTGTTACACTTTTCATTCCACGACAGATTTTTCAAAAAATTTGAATTTTTCATTATCAACTTTTTTTAAAATTTCTACATTACGGGGATGAATAACACCCAACAAATATTTATTTTGTTAAGTGATTAACACCCATTTGATGATTTTTTCTAGTGATTGCAGGTGTGTATGAAACATTATGCTAAAAAATTTACACTTGCTCATTGCAGCAAAAAGGCACACAAATCATATTTACAAAACGCTGTCGTTATGTTACTTTACTCCTAAAACAGATAAGTTCAAAAACCCAAAACAGCAAATTCAAACACGCTTCGAAGACAAACTAAGCAAATACTAGTTACAAACAGTTATTCTACGCGCCACGTCATCTTTCAACAACTATTCAAAACTTCGAGCCCAACGAACACACGCTAAAATTGGGCCCACGTGGCAGCCACCGACTTCCAACGGCGCCAAAACAAATCCTAATGTGAAGAGTTGATTTCAGCGTCACCTACTCCCCATGACTCGGACCGCCTCCCTGACACGAACCGGTTCATTGAACCCAAACCGGGCGGTTCACTGTAAACCGATTCTTCAAACGACGTCTCGATTCGGCTCGCCATCTTCTTTGAAGAATCTCCCGGTGGAAGATCCGTTTGTGGCGCTGATTTTCCACTCCGGTGACTTCGAAAAATTGCGCAAACGCTTTGGATGAAACCGGTTTTCTTCTTTCTTTGACTACGTGAAGATTTTTGTCTAACGACGGTTACGGAGGTGGTGGTGGAGGAAATCGACCTCTGACGAGTTCTCAACCGGTGATTACAGCTTCGTTTGGATCTGACTCTTCCCATGCATGAAACCTTCGGAGACGAAGGTTCCAAAACGGCGGACTCAGATTTTCCTCCGGTTAAGGCGCTTCGTTTCGGAAACAACCTAGTGTTCCCCGGCCGATGGCTACGCCGGCATCTAACTTCCGCGAAGGAAGCTTTCTGAGATTTCGGCAATCCAATTATCGTAGCCTTGGATTTCTTCATGTTCTTGGAGAATCGCTGCGAGTTTGAGGCTGAACTAGGGTTTAGGTTTATAGAAATTGAGCTTCCTTTGGTTGATTCGTTTCGCTCGTAAACGGCGTTTCTGTCAAACCAATCGAATTCCGCGTCGTTGGAGAGCCAAAATGATTCCGGCGGTGAATCGGGATGATGCTGTGATTGTGATTCTTCCGTTGGTTCGCATGCGATTTTATGGTCGGTGGCGACGCCGGATAAGGCGGAAACTAACGTTTCAAAATCTAACTGTGGCATAGTGGTTATTGAATGTTGAAACCTAACTTGTTAATAAAGAGAGAATGTAAAGTGTGTAGGTTTTGAAAGTTTGTTGAGTATGGTAGTGGTTTTCTTTTCGTGATGTATTTATATGAAAGAATGAAGGAATGAATATTCGATTAACTACAAAGCTATCTTTATTCTTCTAGAGACATGGAAAAGTTTATGCATTATACTAATATTATTTTTATTATTGGTCCGTCAAAAGAAGACGAAAGCAATGTCAAAAGGAAACAAAGCACACTGATTAAACTGATCATTCGTGACGTGGGCCGTTGGTTTACACTTTGTATGTTTTTGAATAGTTAGTTCAAAGTTGTTACTGCTTCTAAATTTCTAACGATTGTTGTTAGTACTTCTAGTTTCCGCCTTATCTGGCGTTCCCATCAATCATAAAATCTATATAATGACAGTTTTATTCAACCGAGTTATCCGGTTTAATTCAGTTTAATCATGCGGTTCGACCAGTGATCGAGTAGTTCGACCGATAAACCAGTGACCCAATACCTTCACCGGTTCGATGATCGGTCTGATTTTTAAAACACTGCTTCTAGTTAATAGCAAATCAAAAACTAGAAATTATTGATTTGTTATAATATTTTAATTTTAAAAAATAATTAAATTCATAGTTTTTAAAATAAATACTTCTCATTTAATTTTTAATTTATGTTCTTAAAGTTCAAATTGATATCATTATCTTTTATGAGTAAATTTTGATTTCTTAGATTCATTGAATAAATAATGTTTTTAGATAATATATAGTCTAAATACATTAATTATTTAATGAATCTAAAAATTAAAAATTTGTTTATAAAAAATAATGGAGGGTGTATTGTTCTTCCTAAAATATAAATTTTTTTTGAAGTTAGCTAGGTGAGACCGCAATCGCCCTATTAGTTAAAAAATATATTAGTTTATGTCTCCTTATTTGTTTGAAAAGTCTGCTTTTATACGCATTCCATCATCAATGGTTTCTTTAAGGATGTCTCTTTGTATTCTATATTAAAGTCATCCTCAGTAACCTTCGTCGTCCTCCATAACTATCAAATAACGTTTCTTCTATTAATTTTCGTAACCCCTATACAATCATGGAGACGTTTCGTAACTATTCTATGTGACTATTCATATTGCTTTCTAGTACTTTTCAAGAGATTGAACTGACGTATTCTTGGTCGTAGTTACTCTGAGACCGAATCCGACTGATATGGCTTGGTAGTACTGCTTTATCATGATTGGCTCTGAGTTGCCTAGGATCATGTTATCCGACTTGCTTGCCCTTGTGCTCGGCTTGCAAAAGCTCATACCTAGGGAATTTTAGGATGTACATAAGCCCCCTAATCACGAGATCTGATTGGATAGTGTTCATAAAAGAAAGTCTTAGAATTCTTGTTGGTCGCTTACTCTGTGAGTTACCATTGCCTTTTGGCTTTCTCACTTGTCATCATTATTTCTGTCCGATACAACTTCTTGACCGTTGTAAGTTTTACTTCAATAAAAAGAATTTTTTTCTTCATTTGTTTTTCATCAAAGCAAGTGATTCCTCCTTTAAGCGTTTTTTCCACAAGCTCAAGTCTCAGGTATTTTAATTTTCCTTTTCCCTCTCCCTTTTCTTATTCTCTTTTATGGTTATAATAAGTGATTATGATGATTTGTGAGAGTTTTCGATCTCTCTTACTACTAATGAGAGAAGTAAAATTTGGAATGAGTGCATGATAGAATGTGATGGTCCTCTGAGTCGAGCGAAGTTTGACCAGATTATTAGGGAAGTTTATGGTGAGACCCTTTCACTTGATAGAAAAATTGACTAAGAGTCTTCAACATCAGGTTTCGTGGATATTTTGATGGAGAACACATGATTTTTGATTGACAAAGAGGTTCTAAGTTATGACCACATTGTCACGATAACAACTGCATCTCGAAGTTGCGCTATAATATTCAAGTTTCCTCCATTGGGAATGAGGAGGATGCTGTGTTAAAACCCTGCGTGGTTGGTTAGAGAGTTTGTATTACTCGGCCAAAAGGAGTGTCCGATGAATACTTTTATTTTTATACAGGGGTAATCGAGGATTTCGAAGTCCGTATCCCCTTTAGTGGTTTTAAATCCGACTTGCTTAAAACCCTAAATATTGCCCCTTCTCAATTACGCCCAAATGGTTGGGGCTTTATTAAAGCTTTCGAACTTGTTTGTGAGGCAGTGGACATAATTCATACCTTAGGTTTGTTATTATCTTTCTTTGAGCTGAAGGGAACGGAAAAAGGTGGTTGGGTTTCTCTCACTGGAATTCCTAGGAAGAGCTTCCTTCAGGCTTATACTACCAATTATAAAGATTTTGAGGATAAGTTTCTTCGAATGAAAAATGGGGATAAGTGCCCCAGGTGATGTATGCTCTAGACAAAAATTATTGTTTCCCGATCTATTGGTCGGATAACCCATTGCTAGTTTTCGACTTTGATTATGATAAGTTGAACACCTTAGAAATTCGATCTTTGGACGTTTTGGATGTTTTCGTGTAGTGAAAGTTAAGGACTTGCTACATATAGCTGATGACCCGGAACAAATTTCTAAATTCTTGGGTAATGCTTATATATGCCTTTTACTTTTACTATATTTTGATCATCTTATTGTTTTATGTTTCTAAACTTTACTCTGATCTTTTTCTTTCCAGCTGACATGATAAACCTCAAATTGTCCGAGCAGAAGAAAATGATGGTTGAAGCTAGAGAGATACGTGGAGAACAATATGCTTCTAAGAACGGTCTGTCAGGTATTCAGAACCAAACTCTCAAAAGGAAGAAGATGGATACCATCAAAACTTTGCATGTGGTCTGTAACACCCCATTTAAATTATTTAGTCATTTTATACCTTGTTATGTGCGTATTTGTTGTGATATCTTTAAGTAGGGGTATGAAGTTAGGGGCAAGAGTGGGAGGTGACCTTAGTCGGGTAAGGTGAACCTATAATAATCATAATATTAACCATTTAATAACAATAATAAGAATACTATGGTTATTGATATTATTATTTAATTATTATTGATAATAATATTAATAGGATGGTAGTTATTATTATTATTATTATTATTATTATTATTAATTGGATTAATGAAATTAAAATCTGATTAAGGCGTTAAGAGAGAGTTAGTGGAAGGGTTAGACAGTTAACACGTAAAAGAGGAAAAAGACAGAGAAAGGAGAGCTAGGGTAGAAGAACCAAGATTCCTCCATTGTTGCCAAGAAAGAGCTCAAATCTAAGGTAAGGGGGAGAAACGGATTTCAATATGGGTGATTTAACATGAGAGGGTAGTGAGAGGTCCTTTCTCTCGTAGGAATTTATGTTTGTTCTTACTTATTGACCTGATTTTCGTGACATTGTGATTTTCTTGCGATTGCTGTCCTTGCCGAATATTTCTTGTCTGATGTTGGATGAATGGATATAGAACTGATACGAAAATCGTGTGGAAATCCATTAACACCGTAATGTAATTCTGACAGTTAATAGATATGAGAATTAGAGGTTTAATCGTAATCGAAATTAGATCTAACGAGTGGAATCTTGAAAGAATAGAAGATAGGAAGAATGAAATCAATAGAAAACTGAGTTTTAGGATGAATGGGAAGATAGAATGATGAATCTTGAGTAGAAACTCGTGGAAATATTGAGATCTGAGTTTTTTGACAGATCTGTTGGTCATACGCGTATTGAAGGTGTCAATATGCATATGGGGGACTTCCCAAGGGTTGTACGTGTAGCTGACATGCCCTGTCCCTAGTGCCAGCACGACCATATGGTGATACGCGTATGCTACGCGTATGGGCTTGGGCAATACACGTATGGGGGTAGTCATACGCGTAAGGAGTGTCTCTGAGGGATTTGGAAGGCGACAACCTCTGGTCATATGCGCAAGGGAGCTCCAATACGCTGACGGCAGCTGGCAATATGCGTAAGGACTATGAGGGGTACACGTATGGGCAGGCCTGGGATGACTTTTTCCCATTTTCGTGATTTCTGCACAGATTTTGCTTGGAACGCAATTTCGTTTAATCAGTAGGATTAATATGACTAAAATGAGCCTAAGGAATATTAGTAATGAATTTAATTAGAGAGAATATGGAAAATTAATTTTTGCCCTTAGGGGTTTGATTGATATGTGTGGGCCAGGACCGTCTAGTGTGGACGATCCGGTGTGATGATGGTAATTCCCGAGAGGATTACGGTGAGCGGATGGCTCGTGTGGATCATTGACGATCGTGAATTATGCTTGAAATTGTTATATTGCATAATGGTGTTGTCATGCATTTCATGTCATGTGTCTTGTGGAGATGACTAGGTGGGAATCTATGATGGGTGCCTAGTTCATCCGGACTTCATATGGAAGTCGTTGTGGAGATAAGTTGTAGTTTAGAGGAACGTATATGACTTATCCGGATTCCGACGAGAATCGGGTTCTAGGGTGAACCGTATGTATTTGTGTTGGTACCACATGCATTGTGTCGAGTCAGTGAGTCACATTACATATTTGTATTTGATTATGGACTATTAATGCCGAGTGATTGGGATGGCACGTGTATGTGCGTTATATGTGTATGATTATATGTGTGGTGTGTAACTACTCCTTAGCATGTGTATTTCGCCGCTTATTTATTGAATGTAGTTCTCACCCCTTTTCTGTTTGCTGCGTCTGTGCTCCTAGGGGAGTGCAGATGACCATGTACCTGAGTAGTGCTTGGAGTGTGTTGCTATTTGATCGAGTCCTAGGAGTCGCTCAGATACGTAACATGGGATGACGAGATTACGTTATATTTTGCTTATTTTCTTGATTAATTGTTACGTATCTTTTATCTGTTGGATTAATGATGTATAACCACCGGTTGTGGGATTATGTTTAAATATTGATTTTATTCCGTTGTTTTATTGAATGACCTTGTTGAAATATTGTGGAAAGCAGGAAGTGACTTGATACTTCATTGAATGAGAAAA